AAGGCCCTTTCCAAAATTAAAAAACCTCAAATGCCAACACCCTAGGCTGCAGCCCCAGTGGAACACTGGCATCCCACAGACTTCCATGCCTTTGCTCCTGTGGATCCCTCTGCCTGGAATGCCCTCCTCCACCTTCAAAACCAAAAAACAGACCTGTTGTTGTCAAGTCAATTCCAACTCATGATGACCTCATGCGTGTCAGAGTAGAACTACTCCGTAGGGTTTTCTTGGCTATAATCTTTTTTTAAAAAATATAATTGATTTTATTTTAGTTGTTGAGAATATACACAGCAAAACATACACCAACGCAACAGTTTCTACATACACAATTCAGTGACATTGATTTACATCCTGCCACTTGTGCAACCATTCTCACCCTCCTTTTCCAAGTTGGTCCTTCCCCATTAACATACACTCACTGGTCCCTGTTATGGATTGAATTGTGTCCCCCCAAAACATGTGTAAATTGGCTAGGCCAGGATTGTCCACCATTTTGTGATATGATGTGATTATCCCATGTATTTTAAATCCTAACCTATATGCAGACCCTCAACAAAATGGACAGACACAGTGGCTGCAACAATGGGCTCAAGCATAACAGTGATTGTGAGGATGGTGCAGGACTGGGCAGTGTTTCGTCCTGTTGTACACAGGGTCGCTATGAGTCGGAACTGACTTGACGGCACCTAAAAACAACAACAACCACTCTATGATGTTAATGGGCAGGACTCAATCTACAGGATTAGGTTGTATCTTGAGTCAATCTCTCTTGAGATATAAAAGAGAGAAGCGAGCAGAGAGGAGAGGGACCTCATACCACCAAGAAAGAAGTGCTGGGGGCAGAACGCATCCTTTGGACCTGGGGTCCCTGTGCTGAGAAACTCCAAGACCAGGGGAAGACTGGTGACAAGGACCTTTCCCCAGAGCCGAGAGAAAGCCTTTCCCTGGAGCTGGCACCCTGACTTCAGACTTCTAGCCTCCTTAACTATGAGAGCATAAATTTCCATTTGTTAAAGCCATCCACTTGTGGTATTAATGTTACAGCAGCACTAGATAACTAAGACAGTTTCTAAGTTTCCTATCTAATCTTTCGAGGTGCTGTTGTCATTTGATCCCATACAGACAGATCTTAAAAGAAGAGCACAGTGCTGAAGGCAGACATTCTTTACTAGTTAAGCTAAACTATTGTTTGGCTCTAAGAAGAATTCAGGTGATATTTTTGGTTTAAGGTTCACAGATTATCTCAGGGCATTAGTTTCAGGGGTTCATTCAGCCTCAGTGGCTCCAGAAAGTCTGGAGTCCATGAGAATTTTAAATTCTGTTCTGCATTTTCCCCCTTTTGATCAGAATTCTTCTATAGAATCTTTGATTAAAATGTTCAGTAATGGTATCCGGGCACCATCCAGTTCTTCTGGTCTCATGGCAAAGCTGTTCATGGAGGCAATTACTTGGCTGTAATCTTTACAGAAGCAGATCGCCAGGCCTTTCTTCTGCAGCACTGCTGGACGGGTTTGAACCACCAACCTTTAGATTACTAGCAGAGCACAAACTCTTTTGCACCACTCAGGGAACTTCCACCTTCAGTACCTGGCAAAAGCCTACCTTTTCCAAACAGTCCAGCTTATACTCTGTATAGATGTCCACCTTGCCCAGTTAGAACCATGCTTCCCTACCTAGGGCCACCAGTGTGTGTGGTCTAGGCCTGTTAGAGTAGGCCTTGGAGGGCTGTCAGCTGGGACCTTCTCTGTCCTGCCTGCCACGTGAGAAGAGTTGTGGCCCAGCAAGAAGAAACAGGATTGGTACACAGTGGACGGCCTGGCTGGAGGAGATGCAGAGGGCTACAATGGGGCACCACATGTAAGAGGGCCATGAACAATACAAGATGGATCCTAGCCCCAAAGGACTCTGGGAGAGAACCAGAATACTTTGCTCAGCAGCAACCTGGGCCAGGAAAAAACATACCAAACACCTGACTTCAGGGAAACATCAGCTGGAACCCATTAACTAGTACAAAAACAACCGAACCATCAAAGATCAGACATGTTTTTTCCTGGGTCCCCTGAATGTATCCTTGCACTTAAGCACTACATATAGAAAGCCTCACCCTGCATGGCCCGTGCGTGGACTTCTACGCAGGTGACACTCCACATTTCACTGTCTGTCATGAGAATCTTGGCGTCGACTTCTGTATGTAAGCTCCCTAATAAAGTCTTACCTGATCAACATGGCTTCTTTTACTGTTTCTTTTTCTGGAATCTGACCTGTGTCCCTTGGAGCCACTCCTGCCGCTGGTCTGGTGGAGTGTGACAACTTGGGGTGTAGATTTCAGGCTCTGTGCAGAAGGCACCAAGACTCTAGCTAGGGTCCCTGCCACTCCCTGTGCCTCCCCTCCCTGCCCAAGGCCTTGCCACGCAGGGCGTGGTAGGCAGAGTAATGCTCCCACAAAGATGTCCATGTCCTAATCTCCAGAGCCTGTGAATATGTTACGTTACATGGCAAAGGGGGATTAAGGTTGCAGATGGAATTAATGTTGCTAATCAGCTGACCTTAAACTAGGATGATTATCCTGGATTATCTGGGTGAGTCCAATGTTATCACAGATAGATAGCTGCCATCAAGTCGACTCTGACTCATGGCAACCTTAGGTACAACAGAACAAAATGTTGCCTAGTCCTGTGTCATCCTCAAGATCACCAGCATGTTCAAATTCATTGTTGCAGCTATTGTGCCAGTCCAGCTCACCAAGGGTCTCCCTCCCCCACATTAACCCTCTACTTCACCAAACATGATGTCCTCCTCCAGTGATTGAGTCCTCCTGATGACACATCCAAAGCAAGCAAGTTGGGCAATGCTCTATTGTGACCTATAAGCTTTTCACTGACTAATTTTCAAAAGTAGATCGCCAGACCTTTCTTCCTAGTCTGTCTTAGTCTGGAAGCTCTGCTGAAAACTGTCCACCACGAGTGACCCTGCTGGTGTTCGAAATACCAATGGCATAGCTTCCAGCATCACAGCAACATGCAAGCCACCACATTATGACAAACTGACAGATGGGGGGGTGGAGGTAATCACAAGAGTCCTTAAAAGTGGAAGAAGGAGGACAAGGAAGAATCAGAGAGGGAAAGGCAACTATGGAAGAAGAGTTAGGGAGATGCAACATTGCTGGAAACAGCAAGAAAATGACTCTTCCCTAGAGCCTCCAAAAAGCAGCCCTGCCAACACCTCAATTTGCTAGTGAGACGTTCCTGAAACTTCTCTCTGGTGAAACTTTAAGATAGCAAATTTGTGTCGCTTTAGCTACTAATTTGGTGGTAATTTGTTACAGCAGCAATAGGAAACAAACACACAGGATCACCCACATGTTCATTTCCAGAATCAGTGACATCTGCAAAATTGCTTTCCAACAGGTGGTAGCCAAACAGAACTGAACCCCAGGCTCGGCTCCGACCCTCACATGCCAGTCCAGGCTGCTCATCTGTACGATGGGTAGTGCTGTCTCACAGGGCTTTTGGGAGCACAGAATGAGTTAACGGACACAGAGCGCTTAGCTCAGCACCCAGCTCCTACCTTTGGGAAAAAAAAAGTTGTCAAGTTGACTTCACCTCATGGTGACTCCATGTGTGTCAGAGTAGAACTGTGCTCCTTACGGTTTTCAGTGGTGGATTTTTCAGAAATAGATCACCAGGCCTTTCTTCTGAGGTGCTCTGGGTGGACTCAAATGGTTAAACTTTTGGTTAGCAGCTGAAACATTAACCGTCTGCGCCACCCAGGGACTCCAGGCTCCTACTTGTTATTTTTAGTTGCCATTGAGTTGGCTCCAGTCATGGCGACCTGATGTACAACAGAATGAAACATTGCCTGGTCCTGCGCTGTCTTCATGATGGTTGATATGTTTGAGTCCACTGTTTTGGCTATGACATCAATCCTTCTCATTGAGGGCTTCCCTCATTTTCACTGTCCCTCTACTTTACCAAACAAGATGTCCTTTTCTAGCGATCAGTCTATCCTCAGCAGTTGACCCTCCCCATAGCCTTGCCGACGGTTATTACCTTACACGGGGCAGGTTTGCAATCGGCCAAACCTGAGCGCTAACTCCCAATTTACAGCTCAAGAAGCCAAGTCTCAAGGTGGCAAAGCAAGTACTGGGGCTGGTACCTTTTCTGGAACCCTGGCTTGTTTGCTCCCACGTATTCTAAAAATATTTATTATTGCATTTATCAAATAATATTAACAGCATAGAAAAGTACGAAAAAATTTCTATAAAAATTCTGTCCTCAGTCTTTGTAAAAGAACTAGAGAAAAACAAAACAAAACAAAACAAAAATCACCCCAATTCTTCCACCGGAGAGCGCCACGTGGAACCCGCTCTTTTTCTGCCTTCAAATTGTACCATTTCCACCCTTGCCTCCCAGGCTGCTGAAGATTCGGTTCCAGAGGCGCCTCCGGGGCTAAGAGGCAGCCTGGGGGAAGTCTCTGAACCGAACGTACCAGTTCGCGCCGTTTGTCACTCCCAGGCCAGCCGCGGACCGCGGCTCCCGCGAACAGGGGCGGGGTGGGTGCGGGCCGGCGCCTGGCTGACAGGCGGAAGGACCAGCCTGGCCCGGCCGCAAAGCGCTCCGCGCCGCCCGGAGCCTCGCCGCCTCTCGGCGTTCTGTGCCGAGCGCCGGGAGCGTCTCTCGGCGAGAAGGCCCGAGGGGCAAGCGTGGCGCGTGGAGGGCCCGGGGTTCCCAGCCCGCGCAGGGAGTGGGATTGACCACCAACCAGGCCGCGGAGGCCGTAGCGTGGGAAGGCGCGCAGCAGCGGCAGCTCGGCCACCCCTCCAGGCGCCAAACGCAACGGGGGCGGGGCTGCGGGCGGCAGCCCCCCCGGGCGAGCCCGCTGCGGGGGGCACGCACGTGTGCATACGAGTGCGGGGGGGTTATCGTCGGCGGCCCGGACTACAAGTTCCAGGGTGCCCAGCGGCGCGCCCTGGCTTTCTGGCCGCGCAGCCCGCCGGCTCGGAGCAGGTCGCCGCGGGCTGGCACACGCCACCCGGTCCCCGAGTAAATAAAGGAAAGACACTCCCGAGCACCGTAAATAGAGTCCAAGTGGGCGGGGAGCCGCCCCGCGCCGCCTGCTCATGTCTCTACAGAGTCGAGTGTCCGGCCGCCTGGCACAGCTGCGCGCGGCGGGGCAGCTGCTAGTCGCCCCGCGCCCCTGGCCCGGCCCCTCGGCGGGTGCCACGCGGCCCCGCAGCAGTGCGTGCAGCCGCTCGGCGTCCCTGGGCGCGTACGGCCCCCGCGCGCGGACCCCAGCGGGAGTTGGGGATTGGGGGGCGGCGGCAGTGGGGCGGAGAGCCGGGGTGCGCACCTGGGCCCCTCTGGCCATGGCGGCGAAGGTGGACCTGAGCACCTCCACGGACTGGAAGGAGGCAAAATGTAAGTGTAAGCAGGAGGAGGACGCGAGGGGCGAGGGCGGACCCGCTGGGCTTTCCCGGGCTGTACAGCACCCCACGAGCAGTGTCTTCCACCCGAGAGACCTGGGGAAGTTGAGGCCCCATGTGCGCCATGTGGACCCCCGTGTACAGCCACGCCCCCGTGTGTCCAGCCCAATTCACTCCAGACCAGGGCCAGGCCTCCGGGGAGGGGCAGTGTGAGGACACCTTAACCCCACTGGAATGGGTCACAGGGCACCCCGGAGGTCATCCAGGACTTACCCACTTACTCCATTGCTCAGGGGGGAAACTGAGGCCCAGTACCTGACCTGATATGCCCAAGGTCATGCGGAGTTTGTGTTAGAGCTGAGATTGGGATTCTGAACACCGTATGCTTTGCATAGTATGGTTTCTCAAATGGTGGCATTTTAGGCAACGTGGCAGGGAATGGGCTGAGGGGACAGCTCTGGGGCTGGAGTCCCACCTAAGGAGGTCAAATGGCTCTGTGGAGTGGCCTTTCTGGGCAGGCCTTCTCTGCCCCTACCCTGCCCCCGCCCCAGCCTGCCTCTCCAGGCATGGGGCCAGGAGCCCTCTTGGCCTCCCACTGGAAGCCTACCACGTGTGAGCAGTCTGTCCCGTATCCGGGGGACACAGAGCAGAGGAGGAGGAGCTGGGGCCCTCGCGGTATGAGAACGGTGAGCCCCCCCCCCCCCCCACGAAGGTTTCTGAATCCAAACGGCTTCCTTCTGCTCCCGGGCTGGGCAGGATTCCCGGTGAGACAGGAGTCCCAGGGCTGGGCCTGGCCTCTGGCGGAGCAGGGACAGAAGGGCACCCGGCCAGCAGAGCCCCGAATAGCCCGGTCTCGCGCCCAGCTGCCCCTGCCCTTCAGGGCCTGCCCCCGGCCCCCTGCTGTAGCGCTTCCCGGCTGGATCCCCTTTCAAAAGCGCAGAGCAGGCAACTCATTGGCTGGACCTGCGCGGTGGAGTGGGTGCGGCCAGTGGGGCAGGGCAGGCGGACCAGGGGCGGCCTGTGCTGGTTCGGAAGTAAAGGGAAGGCGGCGTCTCAGGATTGGCTGTGAAGCTTCAGGTGATTTACTCCGCGAGGAGTCGCGTTGGCTGCGCTGGAATCATGAAGGGCCGGCAGAAAGCACTTAATTTTATTCCGTGAGCAAATGGGTGCCTGTCAAGCCCTCAGCAGTGGTCCAGAACACGGGGGCAGGGCGAGGAGGAAGGGGCTGGCAGAGAACCCTGGTGGGGGGCAGTCACTGCCCCCACAGGGAGCCCTGCTTCCCCCTCTCTGGCCAGAGAACAGCAACCCAGGGTGGTGGGAACGGGAGATGAGGAGAGAAAGTCCCAGGCCCCTGTTCTGGATCTGCTTCTGTTTCTAGAATTCAACTCCCCTAACCCCATTCCTTGTTGTTGTTAGCTGCTGTTCAGTCGCCCCTCTTCCCCCACTCATGGCGACCCCATGCATAACAGAGCTAAACACTGCCTGGTCCGGCACCATCCACAGTGGGTTGTGGATCAAACCATTGTGGTCCACAGGGTTTTCATTGGCTAATCTTCAGAAGTAGATCTCCAGGTCTTCCTAGTCATCTTAGTCTGGAAGCTCTGCTGAAGCCTGTTCAGCATCATAACAACATGCAAGCCTCCACTGCCAGGTGGTGGCTGCCACTGACCAGGAATGGAACATGGGTCTCCCACATGGCAGGTGAGAATTCTACCATTGAACCACCACTGCCCCCACCCCATTCCTTGGTGCCACTGAAAACAGCCAGGCCTCATGGAATTGACTGTGCCCAGAGTTACCAGGTTACAGTGGTGGAGCTGGGATTTCTATTCATTCATTCAGCCGATTTTTATTAGATGCCTCCTATGTACTGTTGTAGTGCTGAGGAATTAGCCGTGACCCAGACACGTAAGGGCCCTGTCCCAGTGGAGCTTCCCTCATGGAGCTTGTAGTCTAGTGGGAGTAAATAAGACAATGCCAGGTAGAGGTCAGTACAATGAAGAAACTAAAACAGTAGCCGCACAGAGTGGCAGGTGGGGCTGCTTGAGCTGGGGAGGTCAGAGGAGGCCTTGGGGGAGGGCTGTGGGGAACGGCACTCCGTGCCCATTACTGAGCCACTGCCAGCCAGACCCAGGGAGCAGGACTGGGCTGGGAGATTCAACTACTATCAACTCTAGGCCCCTTGCCCCAGGAACCCGGCTGGATTATACAGTAATGATTATAACTAATGGCAGCACTTGCCGTGAAGCTCCTCAGCAGGCGTCAGATGGTAGCCCATGGGACTGAGACACAGGGTGTGTTTTAGTTATCCATCATTGTGTAACAAATTACCTCAAAATTTAGCAGCTTAAAACAGCAAATATTTATTATCACACAGTTTCTGAGGCTCAGGAATCCGGGAGTAGTTTAGCTGAGTGGATCTGGCTCAGGGTCTCTCATGAGGTCAGCTGGGGTTTGATTGCTTCCAAGATGGCTTCCTCACATGAAATGGCTGTTGACTCAAGGCCTCAGTTCTTCAGCACAGGGGCCTCTCCACAGGGCTGCATGCATGTCTTCACAGCATGGCAGCTGGCTTCCTCCAGAGCATGTGGTCCAAGAGAGGGAGAGTGAAGAGACCAAGACAGAAGCCACAGTGCCTTTTTGTGACCTAGTATTCAAAGCACACCAACACTATGCTGTATTCTAGGCTTGGAATAGAGTCCAAAAGTCTAGCTCACATTCAAGGGGAGGGAAATTAGGCTCCACCTTTTGAAGGGAAGATTCTCAAAGAAATAGTGGAAATAGTAAAAAAATAATAATAATAATAATTTTGTTGTTGAGAATATACACAGCAAAACATATACCAATTCAACAGTTTCTACATGTACAGTTCAGTGACAATGATTACATTCTGCAAGTTGTGCCATTATTCTTACCCTCCTTTTCTGAGTTGTTCCTCCCCCATTAACATAAACTCACTGCCCCCTGAGTTTCCTATCTAATCTTTCAAGTTGCTGTTGTCAATTTGATCCCATATAGATAGTTCTTAAAAGAGCATAATGCTCAAGGCAGACATTTTTTACTAGTTAAGCTAAACTATTGTTCAGTTTTAGGAAGACTTCAGGGGATATTTTTGGTTTAAGGTTTAAAGATGATCTCAGGGCAATAGTTTCAGGGGTTCATCCAGCCTCCATGGCTCCAGGAAGTCTGGAGTCCATAAGAATTTGGAATTCTGTTCTGCATTTTCCAGTCAGCATATTTTTAAAACCACCAGACTGTTGGAGGTCTGGGGGGCTGCTTACGCCGGACTCTGCCTCTCACTGGGATCTGAGCCTCAGTCATTGTAGCCTCCCCTTTTAAATTAAATTTACACTTCGAGCTGAGTTATAGTATACAGTGAAGTACATCAAGTGTACAGATTTTGGCTATAGTCAATGAACTTTTACATAAGTATCCAACTATGTAACTGCTACTCTGATCAATAGGTAGAGTATAATATTGCCATTACCCTAGAAGGTTCCCTTGAGCCTCTTCCCAATCAAAACCCCTAGAGGTAATCACTATTTTATTAGTTTTGTCTCTTCTTAAGCTTCATAGAAATAGAAGCATATCGTGTGTCTGGCTTCTTGTACTCGATACCTACAAGATTCGTCCACGTTATTGGGTGTACCAACAGTTTGTTCTTTTTGATTGCTGTGTAGTATTCCATTGTATGAATGTGCCACAGTTTGTTTACCCATTCCTGTTGACGTGCATTTGGGTTTCCAGTTTGGGACTGCTGTGAATAAAGTTTCTCTGAATGTTCTTGTACATGTCTTTGGTGGACATGTGCTCTCATTTCTCTTGGGTATTTACCTACATAGGCCTCCAAATGCATGTCTTTGCCTGAGATGATTCTCTCTTGAAGACTGACACACAGTAACTCAACTCACGAGAGACTGATGGATAGGTCAGAAAACTGGTGTGGCAGTTCATGGTGGGGATGTGTAACTGCCGTGGTTCTGGAAACTCATGCCTGGAGAGCCACTGGAAGTAGAATTGTAGTCTTAGGGTTGCTCAGCAGTGTGTAGTCTCAACTGGGGGCTGGTTGAATGCTGTGGAAGCTAATCCCACTGCCTGGGCATGCTGGGCAAGCTTCTACGCCAGGGGTTGACCCACCCACCAGGAATTCCTCTACCTGGCAGGTGGCTCAGTGTTATGAGTCAAATCCTGCCTTGCTCTGTGCACTCCTTTTCTCTGCCTCCAAGCTTCTGTAGACTCATTCTCCCTCTAGGTAAGTAAATCTCGTTTTGGGAGACTTCTGTAGTATCTGGTTTCACTGACCAGGGGTTAAGTTCTCTAATTTGATTCCCTCATTTCTGGGGCACTTCATTATTACTCCAGGCAGTGCTTTTTCATCGGAAGGTCATGGAAACAGGGTTGCATTTTGGTGTGAGGGAACTTCAGTTTGGGCCCTTGTGGTGTCTGGGGACTGTGTCACTGCAGTAGGGGCCAGGCCTGCTAGGAGAAGGGCCACAGACCCTCATTCCGTCCTGCCCCGGGAGAAGAGCTGTGTTCTGGAAAGAGAATGTGTGTTGGTGTCATCAGACATGGGCAATCCCCAGCGCTACTGCTTCCACATCCCCTGAGTCTCAGTTTCCTCATCCGTAAAATGGGACCAGTGGCCCCTGATTTGTAGCTTGTGTTGGGACCACTTTAGAAGCTATTTTATACACCTGTGGCTCATGGAGAGGTGTCCCTGGGTGGTGCAAACAGTTAAGCGGTCGACTTCTAACCGAAAGGTTAGTAGTTTGAACCAACCAGAGGCACCTTGGAAGAAAGGCCGGGCCATCTGCTTCTGAAAGAGCTCAGCTTGAAAACCCTAAGGAGCAAGGAGCCCTGGTGGCACAACGGTTAAGCGCCTGGCTGCTAACTGGAAGATTGGTGATGATTTGAACCCACCCAGCGGCTCTGCAGGAGAAAGACGGATAATCTGCTCCTATAAAGATTACAGCCTAGAAAACCCTACGGGGCAGC